TCTTTATTTCTTTCTTTGCCCTCTAGGTCGTTCACAACATAAAACAGTAAACAATCAGCAAACCTTGCACAATAGGCCAGAACATCAGCAATAATATAAAATACAGATCCAGTAATAAAACATAATAGAAGACAAAACTTTCTCCTTTCTTTGTGACGAATGTCAGATAGTAAACTCCTCGGGGCAGGGACCTGTCCTCTCCTGCTATGTGAAATGCAGTTTCCCTCACAGATTAGGTAAATCCATAAAGAAATCCATCAACCCATATAAGTATGAACAGCTCCCACAAAGCATCTCATCATTCAAACAAAGCAGGGACAGGAGAAATCTCCCAGTGGGTCATGGCTGAAAGATTTTTTTTGAAAAAAGCAATTTTTCCTGGAGTGGGGTTGCAGGTGAAGCTACAGAGTTAGCATATGTGAGTATAATTCTCACGGACAGAGGGCATCATGATAACACAATGCATCTGTTGCTGTGGGTTCCAATAATAAAGATGCTAATACTTCATAATAACCATCTGATCAATGCTAAATCATAACCAATGATCATCTTAGGCTTCTAGTACACTTTTTCGCTGCACCCCTGCATTGCTGGTTAAAATCTGCCCCACTCCTGACCATAAGCCTCACACTTTCTCGCAGTAGAGCCTCCATGGGTAGTGAACCTTACCGGAATATACGGCTGCACAGAGTCATGGATGGAGATGATGTGGGTGATGTTGTGCCGGCTCAGCTGATCCAAGTCCTTGGCATCTAGAAGCAAAGCGTGGGAGGAACACATTAATATTTCCCCCATTCCTGGCTGTGTTTTGAGAACAATGGACAACACGGGGTCCTGATCTGCTGAGAAATTGGAGCGTGGGGCATTGCATGCCGAAAATAGGTGTGGGCAGGGCCCAAATTCAGTCACAAGAGACCCCACCCAAGCCTTCCTCCATCATCACGTCCACACATTCAGTCCAAGTCGTAAATAGTTTTGTAGGCTTAAGTGAGCTGGCTAAGGGGGAACCAAAAACATTCCAAAAAGGGGGAAATCTAGCTAAGGACAAGAACACAAAAACAAACAGGAAACAGAAATTAAAAATAAAACGTAGTGGCTTTTTAAAGACCAAGTGTTATACACTGCACAGCTTAGAGAAATTACTTTTCAATGTAGTCTGTGATTTTGGGAGTTGCAGCCCCACCTCGCACCCCTAAATAATTTTTCCAAGCTCTGCTGAAAGTTGCAGTCTATCTCCATGATTAGCCTTTGTCTGCTTCTAGTAAACCCTTGACATTTAGTTCAGTTGTGTCCGACTCTAGGGCGTGATGCTCATCTCCGTTTCCAAGCCGTAGAGCGAATGTTTTGTCCAAAGACAGTTTCCGTGGTCACGTGGCCAGTGCGACTAGACACAGAACGCCATTACCTTCCCATCGAGGTGGTACCTATTTTATCTACTTGCATTTACATTCTTTAGAACTGCTAGGTCGGCAAGAGCTGGGACAAGCAACAAGAGCTCACTCCGTCGCGTGGATTCGATCTTACGACTGTTTGGTCTTCTGACACTGCAGCACAGAGGCTTCTGCGGTTTAACCCGCAGTGCCACCACATCCCTGTCTACCTCTACCACTCTTTTAATGCAAGAAGCTTTTGTAGAACCTACGAGAGGTTCTTCCGTTAAAAGATCCCTAGAAGGGGTCACTATTGTCATCCACCAGGATGTATTAAAACTATGGGTTCTTCAGCGATCTAACATCCTCATGAGATGCACAGCTGGGTCTACTATCACATTCAATACTTGAGAGGAAAGGGGAATCCACAGTCATGAGCTCCATGGGGTCCCCGTAGACTTGATGAAATTCAGTGTCTCTCCCTTTACCACACCTTCCCTAACCAGCACTTCTGTGATATTATGGGGCTTGGCCATGCCTTGGACCTCCTCTGACCCATGCAGACAGGACACGTAGGGGGAGATCTGGTCCAGCAGGCTCCCCAAGCGGCTTCCCCACCTTAGTGTGTGGTTGATTTTTTTATTTATTTGTATGTTGGGGTTCATGGGTATTGGGCAAATAAATTAACACACCCAGGGGCTGAAACCTCTCTGGGCTGATGCATCAGGGTTTGATGGCCATTCAGCTGATCCGGCATTTCTGTCTGTTTCCATTACACACGCTTTCAGAATGCCAGCGAGACACGGCAATATTCTTAGAAGACGAGATGGGCAAAGGCTCAGGTTTTATTTCGGGCACAGGCGTTCAGCCAAGTTGGTCCCACCTCTAGGCTATATATATATACACACATCATTGTTTTTCCAAAACAAATTGTAAGCGTGAGACCAGGCCCCAGCAGGAAACTATGGCTGTTCCTTCTACTTCTGGGTGGCACTGATTTAGCAGCAACCCTTGCTCAGATCTGGAGTTCTAAGATGATTATTGTTGATCGTCTTATGGTTATTGTTATTATTGCTCCTCTGTTCTGCTCTCCCACCACATGGTTGCAATGCTGTCACCCCCGTCACCCATAGCCAACAGAGTTTTGGGACCCTCAAAGGGCCCCAAATGCACTGATCTTAACAACGTTTGGATGCTAAGCCAGGATCAGGCCTGGGGAATATTTGAACGGAAGACCACCAGGAAACACCTGGGGTCTCCAGGTAAGGCTAGGCAGCCATCCCACCTTCCCACGCTGGAAAACGGCTGCTGCTGCTGCTGCCGGTCAGAGTTTGTAAGATGGGCTGGCTCACTCAGGCTCGGCAGAGGGCAACTTTCGGTGTTGCCCTGTTCTTGCCAAAGAGGAGGAAGACCTCCCTTCTCCCTGGGAGGAGGTGGGAAGCGAAGCTCTCCCTGGCACCCTTCTTCTGACCACTATGTCTTGGGTCCAAAGCACTGGAAGGGGCCCGGCAAAAAGGTCAAAGTTGCCCAACTTGCAACAGGACCCGGAAACAGACACAGATCTTCTTGACCGATCTCCACAGCTTAGGTGGCATTTCTGCTACTTACTGACCTATGAAGTTGCCGAGGAATAATCCAGGAAGAACCTGTGAGATTTAAAAAAAGAGAGAGAGAATATTCTTGTTAGCAGAACTCCCTGGGGCTTCGGAAGGATTCTAGCCTTAAAAGGGTCGGTCTCTTTCTCCACCCGCTCCCCCCTCAACTCCATGAGCTAACTCCTACACTAACTACCCTAACCCCGGCCACATTCCTGCCTCCTCCAACCAGGCAAGCCCCATGCCCCTGATGGGTAGCGACCCTTGGGAATCGTAGCCAAAGAAATAGCTTTCTCAATGTCATCCCAAGCTTCTTTTCACCCCGGCTGCCCCCTTTGTGAAAACCACTCTTCGTTTCTTTCTCATTTACTTTTTAACAGGCCCTTTAGCCTTAGAAATTTGTCTGTTGTTATGCGCTTTCCAGTTGCACCCACTTCACGGGTAACTCTAATCGGGGTTTTGGAGGTAGGCGAGATGTTCACGGAAGGGGATATCTTCATCCCCCTCCAGGGCATTTCCTTAAGGATGCGAGCACAGGCCTTGTAAGTTCTGATCCGACACTCTCTGTCCACTATGCCACGCTGGAAAGCAGCCCACAGACATTCGTGACACCAAAAGGAGCTCATGAATGCTACGGCACAGATCCTCTCAGCCAACGCTGAGCTGCTTCCCTTGGCCCCAGAAGGCTGGAGGGGTCTCTCCAAAGTCCCCTTCCTGCTCTTCTTTCGTATCTGCGCCGTTGCTCAAGTTAGGGGGTCCACGCCATGCTCCCCTCCCATCACCCATTCTGATCCATCACGGGCCAGCGTTTCTGAATCCCTGCAGTGGCCATGCTTAAAGTCAAAAGCACCGAGGAAGAGTCAAAGAATTGCTGCATTCACAGTTCATGACATTGAGCATCACCTTCTCAGTCCAGCAGGGCTAGCTGTACCACAGGGCAGGGCAAGGCAGATACCCTCCAGGCAACAGACTTCAGTTGTCATAAAAGAGTGGTGTTCATTTCAAAAAAGCATGATTGCTTTATCTTGCCAGAACTTTGCCAGGTGGCCTCCTCACCCAAAGGACAGACCTTTCGGCAGACAGAGCTTGCCTAGGTATCTTGCTATCCTTCTTCCATATAGATAGGAAAGGTCTGGGAGCCTTGTCCTGGTTTGCAGGGGGGGCACCTCCCACCAGTGCTTGAGGTTTGAGTTGCTGCCCCACCTCTGCAAATTTCTGCACGAGGAACTGGGAAGGGCAGGGGGAAACAGAGCTTGAAGAAGCTCAGTTTCGGGGCCACCGCTCTGGCCTTGCAATACAGGGGCCAAGTAATTCTGTGGGCAGACACGATTTTGCTTGTCGCAGAAGCATTTGCTCAAATGCAGGGAAAGCCCACTTTGGCAGTCCTTGCAGACAGGGGAGCTTTGCATCAACACTCAGCTCCAGTCTTGGGCCTTCTGGGAATGATTCTTTACTGGATCGACAGGGATTCTCCTTTAGAAGTCTTGCGAGAGCCTCACTCACAACTGGATGACAGTTTCCGGGAGAGATTTGAGTTCCGCAGAACATTGCTAGCTTGCTTACGTTTTTTCTTTTTTTAAATCTCCTATTTCTTCCAGTTTTCTCTTGATAGTGTCCCTGGCTCTCTTCCTCCCCAATTTTATCTTCAACCTCTCTTTCCTATGTGAGGAAAGAGAGGTTGAGGCAGTGTGTCCGGCCTAAGCTATCCAATGTTGGAACCAATGGAGAATTTGAACCCGGGTCTCCTGGGTTCAAATTCAGCACCTAAACGGTGGCACTGTGACAGCTAACATGCCTTAGAATTCAGAAAGACAATGACAATAGTTAGCAGCCTGAGTCATTTGGAGTTAAAGGCTCTAAGAAGAAAATGCAAAAGCAGGATTACAGTTGAGCATTAAGAAAACGACAATAATGGCTACATAAGAACAAGACAGCTTTAATGCTGATAATGAAAAAAAAACCACAGTGTTTTAATACCCTGGTTCAATCATCAGTCCAAACGGAGACTGCAGACAGGAAGTCAGAAGAAGACTGAGACCTGTAAGGGCAGCCATGAAGGAACAAGGAAATATCTTGAAATGTAAGGAAGTGTTGATAGAAACCAAGGTGAACATCCTCCTCCTATATAGTCGTCCCAATTACTATGTATGGATGTGAAGGCTGGACAGTGAAGTCAGTTGACAAGAAAAGAAATGAAGTGTCGGAGAAGAGCTTTACAGATGTTTTGTGGACTGCCAGAAAGACAAATTGCTGGGTCCAAAATAAGATCAAGCCTAGATTCTCTCTAGAAGGAGAGAGAAAAAAAGAGGGGGGGGGCTGAACTGAGACAATCCTATGTGACAAGACTCAATGGAAAGGACAATAATGGTAGGAAAAGTGGAAGGCAGTAGGAAAAGAAGAAGACTAAATATCAGATAGATGAACTCAATAAAGGAAGCCACAACCTTGAGCTTGCAAGACCTGAGCAGGCTGATTTTTAGGAAGTTGTTGCTGAAATCCGATTCCTACTGTAGGTCCATTTCTCCCTGATAAGCAAAGCACTGCTCAGAGACACGTGTGTGTGTTGTCTTGATGTAGGAATGTGCCTACCTCCAAAAATTATGGTAAGAGTGCTTTGTTTACTCTACAGGGACAGAATGAGATTTCAGCCATTCATTTGTAGGATCACTATAAGCTGGAAGCAACTGGACAGAGCATAACAATAACCCACAGCATTGATGTGCACCTTGATTATGGCCATGGGACCTACTTGCCACTGGATTTCTAGGTGGCTGTGGCCAGGAACACCTTTTACTAGTTGCAGATTCATGACCTGGTTGTAAGCTTTCCTTTCTGGCTAAGATCCCTCTGTTGTCATCTGCACACAGGAAAGTTTTGTGCTTGGTTCCCAACAAAGTATTTGGCAGAAACATTTTTCTGGGGTGGCCACCCTGTCTTGTTCACTGACGGCTCTGACATCCAAAAACCAGTGCTCCCCATTTCTGGAACTCAGCGTTTGCCACTGCCAATGACTTAACACCCTCAGCAAAAATTAGGCAGAAACTCAGAGGCACCCACCTCGGCTGTGCCGGGCGGACCGCGTCTCTCTGTCCGGGCTCAATTACCGGATTCTGCGCCCAGGAAATGATTGCAAACATTGCCTGGAAAAATCCATTCATTCCCTCAATAGGCAAGGAAGGGGCTGATACTTTTCGGCACCCGAGACGGGTTGCAGTGTGTTAGCCGGGGTTGGGGGTTGGGGTGGGGGATGCCCTCTAAACCAGAGGCACCTGGTCTTGCAAAACTTTGCAAAGTTGACCGACTGTTTTGAGCGCTTTCAAGGAAATGCCCTGGACAGAGGAAAAATATTTATTCTCGGCAGCAGTGACCGACCATGTCCCCCCATTGCACCCTACCTTGTTCATGCCATTGCCCATGGCGGGAAGCAGGCGAAGTCGAAAGGAGGAGAGCAGGTGACGTCCCCGGTGGGTCTCGCTTCCCTCTTCATCCAAACACCCAGGGCTAGTGTGGGGTGCAAAGGCCGCTTCGTACCTCTGGGCCCCCACACTGTCTTTCCCCCAGCCCTCTGTTGCGCCTCTCTGGGCTGGCCCCAGAAGAAATCCCTGGAATGGCAGCTGGGAGTCTTGTGGCAAGGGATAAATCTTTGCCCACCCTCCCCATCTGTCACTGTCAGGGTTATCCCCTCCTCCTCCTCGAGAGGAGGAGGGCTCCTTCCTTTAATATGGCACAGATGCCGGTCCTAGAAAAGGTCTTTTCCTGCTCGCCTCCTGCAGCTGGCACATTTGACAGGAGAGGGGAAAAAACCCACCTCTTTTGTCAGTTGTGAGTGTGTGCGCCAGGAAGGCCAGGCCAGGGCATCGCGGGCTGCTGTTGCTGCGCTGCCACAAAGCGCCAGTGTCCAGGGAACAAAAGCTTTTGTCTTCCTGGCCCGGGTGACCAGGAGGGGTGGTCAAGCCATGTTCTGTCTTCCTGCCTCTGCTTCTTGGCGAAGCGGCGGGCTGGGCATCACCGGCCGCCTGCCACGGATCAGCTCAGCAGCTGCGTCACTCCCTGGAACAACCCACTTCTTTCTCTCTTCCCACCCACCCCCACCTTGCAGATTCCACTCTGCATCCCACAATAACAGGGTGGCCGCGCCAGGCCTCTCGTGAGAGGTCTACATGGGGAAAGCAGGGCAGGGGAAGTTATCCAGTGTGTAAATTGGTGATTCCCCCCAAATCCCACCCCTCCCCAGCCACTGTGCAGCAGGAGAGACAGTGGGAAAGGGGGGGGTGGAACATCATGTTCCCAGAAAGGAGAATGTGCAGGCAAAAGGACCCCCCCCCCGCCTGCTCCTCCTGCGGCTACGATTGCAGATCTAGTTACCCCTCCTACCTTGAATAACAGGGTGGCCGCGCCAGGCCTCTCGTGGGAGGTCTACAGGGGGAAAGCAGGGCAGGGGAAGTTCTCCGGTGAATTGATAGGTTTGTTCTCTTTGCAGTCCAAGGGACTCTCAAGAGTCTCCTCCAGCACCACAATTCAAAAGCATCAATTCTTCGGCGGTCAGCCTTCTTTATGGTCCAGGTCCCACTTCCATATATTGCTACTGGCTGCGGCTACGATTGCAGATCTAGTTACCCCCCTCCCTTGAATGACCCTGGGCAAAAATAGAATCTGCAGTCACAAGGCTGCCCGGGTCAGCTGGGCAAGAAGGCAGTTCGGGAGCCCTCGTGGGTCCCCGGGATCCATTTCACAGGGAAAAATCCAAGAACGGCTGACGAGTTCATTTCTTCTGAGCAAAACATACAACCCGGCTGGACCTGCAAAGAGACTTGGCCGGGAAGACACCATCTTAATGCCGGCCTCCGAAAAATGAGATGCAGCGCCATGATGCTCTCTCTTCCAATAAAAGTGGGGTGAGGTCGGAGGAAAGCAGAAGAGCCGCTGGCCTTGGTGCTGGACGGCAGGCAGAGTGATGGGCTAAGACACCGGGGATCTGGGTACCATCAGCATGCTTATTGGGGGGTATTTGATTCCCTAGAGTGGCCTAACCAACTCTCAGTTCTTAGTGCTAGAAAAAACAAGCATTTGGGACCGATATCCAGAGGAGCCGAAAATAAGCCATTTCAATCCCTGGACTTTAGCAGTCGTGGAGGGAGGTGTCAGTTAAGGCTGGTGGCTCCAAGGGCCACGGGTCTGTGAATCTGCCCTGGTTTTTAGTCCGAACTTTACAGCGCTCTCCAGGGTGCTGAGCTTTCTCCAGGATTTTTGTCCCTTCCCAACTTTCTTCATTGCCCAATGTATTTATTTATTGAAAATGTTTTTATCCCTCCTTTCTCCTTAAGAAGAACCTGATGAATTTGCTTATGGGTTCAAATGTAGGTTGTAGAGAAAATGTGACATGTCATAGAAATCCTCGTGGACCTTGGTCGTCGTCATCATCCTCATCATCATCCTCACAGTCTGCAGTGGCAAACATGCTTCTCAGTCTTCTGATTTCTCGGCTGTAGTCTCCATTCGGATGGATTGAGCTGAACTAGAGAAAATCTTGAAAAATACTGATTTAACCAGAAAAAATCTTGAACAATATGGCTTTCTTTATTACCAATGTAATAGTTATTCTGTAATCATTATTTTTGTCTTAATATTCAGGCGGATTCCTGTTAGTTGCAAACATGCCCCCCAACACAAGTATATACAAATAAATAAGCAATGGACCCATTTTTGCAATCCTTCGGCAAGCAGTGGTAGATCTTTATCTTTAGGCAAGCTTTCCCTCAGGGACTGGCTTGTTTCAGAGGGTTTTAAAAAAATAACCTGGAGTGTTGTGCCTTGTTGCTTTTAAATCCGTATGTTTTTGCGGTTGCCTTTGTTTTCTATCTTTGAGTGGGGGAGTATTTATTTGATCCCTTTTAG